GGGAACTTTTTTTTTTTTTTTTTTTACAACAAAGTTCTCAACAAATTGCATTCTTGTCAAATTCACTTCACTGGGGATAAGTTTTGCTTAGGAGTGAAGAGTTAAGTTGCATGTCTATTGTTCTACATGGAAGTTAGCAACAAGAATTTTCATTGGTCTAAACCAAAAAGCTGAAATAAAATATAAAATCTGCTTCTGTATTGTTTTAATCTTTGCTTTTTTTCTTTCTATTTTACAGTTTAGTTAATGTAAGGCATTTTGAATAGTCTTTTTACTGAATTGTAATATTTACACAAACTTGCCTTGCCAAAATGTAATCTCTGGATTGCATTTCTCATTTAAACTTCCATTTACAAACCATGTTCTTTGCTTTTACCAATAATGTAGTAAAGTTCATAGAATCTCTCTTGGTTCTCTCAGTTGGTCCCTCTATAGTGCTCAGTGTGTGAACACTATTTAACAATATGTGTGCATGGTTCTGTGTCTTGTGTGACCATATATGGTGAATGAAAATAGATAGATGGAGTTAAGATTATTAACACTTCTGAGCTGTGCACGTACAAACACACTGTTCTCCTTGTCCTGCTTCCGACCTCTCGGTGCATTCAGGGGTATTAACGGCTATCAAGCCTCCCATCTGAATCCATGAACAGGCTATAATCATATTGGAAGTCATTGACATTCAGCTAGGTGGCACGGTCGCATGTGTCATTATGGTGTATCAGAGTGGCAGCAGAGGGAGATTTCACTTATCCTTCATTCTCTTCTCAGCTTTTTACTCCAAATAAAATTATCACTCCATCTGTTCTTTTTGTCATCACTTCCATTTTTCATTTTCATGTCTTTATCTTCATTTTGTGGAGGTTTATACAGTTCATGGAAGGGTAATTTTGTTAATCCTCTTGGTCTGAGCTGAAGGCTTCAGAGGGAGAATGAGTAAAGGAAAGACAGGAAGTGCAGGAAAGGATTAAAGTTATAAGTACTTAGAGGGAGATTATTTTAACAGATTGACAAAGTGGCAGTGGTTCACTTGGCCACGGTGATTAGTTGACTCACTGGGTCAGAGGACCTGAGCTGCAGCGTCAGAGAGAATCTGATTTAAAAGCTTTGTTTGATGTTGCTGCTTCTACAATTCAGTTAAAGCAAATCGTTTAGCCCATGTATTAAGTATATGTAAGAGAATGTGGCTACACTCACACTGCAGGCCTTAATGCTCAATTCCGATTTTTTTGTGAAATCGGATTTTTTTGCGTTTCCGTTCACACTTCCAAGTATAGGCGACTTGTATGCGATCTACTGTGTGAAATGAAAGCGTTCATCCGAAGTGTCCCGCATGCGCACTCGAGGACGCGATGACGCCACATGTAGCAAGCGTCCTCAGTGTTTGCGGAAGTAAACATGACTCGTAATACCGCAGCGTATATTGCGTTCTTTAAGTTCTTCTCCAACAGGAGCA